GGCGGGGGGAGGGGGTGGTCCTGGTCGGATGAATTGGGAGATTGGGATTGACATATATACATTAATATGTATAAAATGGATACCTAATAAGAAACTGCTGTATAAAAAAACAAAATAAAATTCAAAAGTTCAAAGAAAACAACAACAAAAAAAGAAATGTCAAAAGACAAGCTAGGAAAAAATATTTGCAATACACATTACAAACAAATAACTAATTCCCTTAATAAATAGATTCCTCAAATCTGCGGGAAAAGATTGACAATCTAAGGAAATGGGGGTAATACAGGGAAAAGTTCACAGAAAAATACTTTTTTAAAAAAATTAATTTATTTTTGGTTGTGTTGGGTCTTCATTGTTGCACGTGGGCTTTCTCTAGTTGCAGAGAGCGGGGGCCACTCTTCATTGCAGTGTGCGGGCTTCTCATTGTGGTGGCTTCTCTTGCTGCAGAGCACAGGCTCTAGGCGTACGGGCTTCAGTAGTTGTGGCATGTGGACTTACTAAGTTGTGGCGCGTGGGCTCAGTAGTTGTGGCTCATGGGCTCTAGAGCACAGGCTCAGTAGTCGTGGCACATGGGCTTAGGTGCTCTGCGGTATGTGGGATCTTACCGGACCAGGGTTCGAATCCGTGTCCCCTGCATTGGCGGGCGGATTCTTAACCACTGCGCCACCAGGGAAGTCCCCGAAAAATACTTCAATGGCTCTTATAAATATCTTTCAGAGTAAAAGAAATGTAACTTTTCACCTATTATATTGGCGACAGTTTAAAGTTTAATAACACCCTATATTGTCAAGGGTATGAAGAATCAGATCCTCTTATACAATGCTGCTGAGGGCGTAAACAGACATAACTTTCTGGAGGGCAATTTCGCCATAGCTAACAAAACTGAAATGCAAATACCCTTTAGCCTAAGAATTCTACTTCTAGGAGTACCCTATGGTAAAGGGCAAAAGGACCCATACTCAAGGTTATTCACTGTACCATTGTTACTAAGAGCAAATGCTTGGAAGGAATCTAAATGTTTATTACCAGGAGACTGATTAAATAAATTATGGTACATATATAGAATGAAATATTATAAAATGACAGCTGTAAAAAAGAATGAAGAACCTCTTTATGTAATGGATTGGGATGAATTACAATCACATCAAGTGAAAAAAGCAAGGTGTAGAGTAGTGTTTATAGTATGCTTTTATTTGTATGAAAAATCAAAAGGTGTAGCAAGAAAATTATTCATATTTGCTCTAATAAGCATAAAAATTCTCTGGAAGGAAACTAGAATACAGTAGTTACCAATAGGATTGGAAGGAAACAAGATATTTACTGCATGTGGTTTTATACATTTTGGTTTTTTAACCATATAAATGTATTGTCTATTTTCTATTTTTTTTTGGCCACGCAGTGTGGCTTGTGGGATCCTAGTTCCCAGACCAGGGATTGAACCTGGGTCCTCAGCAGTGAAAGCGTGGAGTCGTAACCACTGGATGGCCAGGGAATTCCCTGTATTGTCTATTTTAATTAAATATTTTAAAGCAAGTTACAGAGTAATAGATACAGTATAATCTTAATATTTTAAAAAGCATGTACATGCATAGAAAAATATAAGAGAATCTACCAAAATGTTAAAGAGTGATTGTTATTACTTGATGTTGAGATTATGGGTAATAACTTACTTTCTTCTAAACTCTTTTTGGTATTTCCCAAATGTTCAGCAAATAAAAACATGTATATTACTTATATATTCAGAAAAGAAATATACAGAGACTTTCCTGGCAGTCCAGTGGTTAGAACTCCACGCTCCCAATGCAGGGGACACCGGCTCGATCCCTCGTCAGGGAACTAAGATCCTGCATGCCACACGGCGCGGCCAAAAAAAAAAAAAATAAATAGGAGGGATGACTTGGTAAAAATACATTTTCTATTATTCTCACGGCATATAACCTACCCTCTTTCCTCCATGTCTCCTATATAAACAGGGCATAATGAAAGCCCCTACTTGGAAGGGAGGGCACCCCTGGAATATTTAGCCCCAGGCCCCACAGGAGGCCAGTGCGTTATGACTAGTGGCGGTTGCTATTTTTTAAATTGGGCCATCTATACTGCAAAGTACAGGTTTCTTCTTAGTGTTGGAAAAGGTGGGGGGAATCTTTGCACTTCTAGTCAGCTGAGAAATCTCAGGGATTAAGCGTCTCCATGTTTCTAAGCAGCAGAAAAGGGGTTATCAAATATACCTTGCGTTATGGAAAGACTAAAAGGTAGCCCAGATGCAGGATGTCAAGGAAAACGAGATCCCTCTAAGAATACGGTCATGATGTTAGAGTTTCCTAAGGCCCTGAGTGATTAAAAAAAATACACTTCACATTCCATAACACATCCTTAGGAAAGCACGGAAGAGATATGGCCAGCATGAATCATTGTATCCCTTCCCCCCTCCAAGAGCACAACACCCAGAATAGCTTCCTGATGACACAGCAGCCAGAAGCCTTTGAAAGCCTTAATCTTTAGGGAGGAAATGAAAAGGAAAAACAAGTCCTTAATACAGACTTTAATTTTTAGGTCTTTACAAGGCAGAACTGAGCAGCAGTGAAGTTGGTATGGATCTTTCGTCTTTAATTCTTCCCACTAGAGCCTGTAGTTGCTAAATGTATGTGTGCATGACAGATTTGTCTGGTTTGCTCTGCTTGCACTTACTAACACTACTGCTGTTTTGTAGGTGACCGTTATCTTTTAACAGTTTTCATTCTGCTGACCAGGTACCTTCACAGATCTTATTACTTACTAATAACAATAATATTGTGTTGCATTTACCAAGCATCTTCCACTTGGGAATTCCACTGACTTTACTATTTCATCATGACACATATTCTGTTTCTGGCACAGATGGTAAAACTGTCTTCAAATATAGTAAAATGATTACTCCAGATGACAATGTAAGATGAGTAATAGAGCCAAGAAAAGAACTTTTTTGCTATCAAGATGAAAGTACTTTAACCACTAAATGACAGTGCCTCTAATCTGGTAGCTATCTTGGTCATCAGTCTGGGAAACTTGTATTGGGTTTTTGTAAAACATGTTGGCGTGGTTCCCAATTCTGGCTTGGGAGACTGAGTAGCTGACAATGCCACAGATCAGTATTAAAAATATCAGGAGGAAGGGCAACCTTATGAGAGAAAATAAGTTTGTTTTGGATCATGTTGTACTTGGCCTATAGGACAGCCAGCCAGATGATAATGTATAGCAGACAGCCAGACAGCTAGTCTTGTGGATCTGAAGTTCAGCAGAGATGTCTGAGCTGGGGGTAGGTAGTATATAGGTGACAGTTAAAACAACACAAGTGAAGGAGACTGTTTCAGAAAATGTACAATGTAATAAGAGATAAGGACATAGGACTGGACTGTATTAAAAACTAAAATCCGAGAGGAAGAGATTCCACGGACATAAACTAAGAAAGAGTGATCACAGAGGTAGGAGAAGGTCTCCATAACATTGGAATAATGCAGTACGAGGCAAGGTCTGATGATGTTCAACAGTGAAGAACACAAGACAGTGTTCAAAGGAGAAATGTTCACTGGATTTGGTAACATGGACTTACTTAAACTTCAGTAGCAAGAACAACAGTGGTAAGGGCAGAAACCAGATTGCAGTGGGTTAAATTATTTGTTTTGTAAATTCCAATGGTCATATTTTTTTTCCTAGGACAACATGTAACTTGAAGCTTAAAAAAAAATGAGGGGAACATTTATTAATTATTTCCTATGTACCACGACTGTGCTAGGCAAATTTGTATGCCATTTCATTTAACCTTTCCATCAAACATTATGATATAAATAATATTATCAACATTTCTACCGATGAGAAAAGGCTCAAAAAAGTTAATATCACCTAATAGTTAAGACTGACAGACAACTTACTACACTTTCTAAAGCTTTTTCAGGTATTATCTCATTTAATTCTCACAACAATCCTATGAAGTACATACCAGTGTTATCGCCTCATTTTACAAATGAGGAAACAGAAGCACTAACAGTTATGTAACTTACCCAATGCCACAGAGTGGTGAAGCTGAGATAAAATAAGAGCAGTCTGACTCAAAAATCCATAATTATTACTACAATGTCATTTTTTCCCCCCAAGGACCTGAGCAATTTCAATCCAGGTTCTGTCTGATTCCAAAGACTTCTGTCAGTCTACTATACAATGTTGCCTCCAAATTCCTGGAATGAGGTTTTAATAATGATGACCATTAAGATTCAGCTCTTTAAAGGATAAAAATTTTCCCCATATCTTCAAAGTTCTTTAGAAAGAGGGCCTCATTTTTAGAACTTACTCTGAATAAAGAAAATCTAACCTAAGCCAACTTTTCCACTGAATTCTGAAAAAACTCAACAAGAACACTGGTTTAAAGAGTTTGTTCAGAGGTGATATATACATATATTTAGAAGGGAGCGTAGCACATTAAATCCTATCAACTATGAATATCTTAATACCAATTAATTTTTTCCAGTGTGACTGCTAGTTGAGAATAAATTCTGATTAAAAAAGAAAGACAAGTCTGGCTTAGAAAAAAAGAGTTTCAGGAAAGAATACTAAGGCCTTACATGGGAAGAGCATGAGTGTTTGGGAACACAAATTATGCACATATTTGTGAGGTTTGATTTTTAAAAAGTAGGAGGATCAGGTCCAATGACCCACTTGACAATTTCATCCAGAACCAAACCTTATTTAAAACATTGCAAATGGAGTAACTACCATTGAGAATTAAAGCAGAAACCATTGAGTGTTAGTAGATTCCACTCATTTTTAATACTCAAAGCTTATTAGAGTGTTTGAGGATACTTAGGAAAAGAAACAACATCAATAAAGTTTACATAGAAGAAAAACGTAAGCTATAACTAAAACTATCACTCACAAGCATCAAGTTATCAACAAAGTGATGCTCACAGGATAGTCTAAAATGACAATATCCTGTATTTCTCAGATGCATCCTAGGATACTCTTAAGACGAATATCTCTTAAGAGGAATATCTCAATGATTCATCATCATTGTCCTTATCCTCCTCCTTGTTATCATATATTATAGTCTTGCTCTCAAGGACTCAGAGACTAGTTGCCTTCATCTACTCCCTGCCCACAACTTAATGCAACTATTTCTTTCCAACAAGTGATTCAGCCAATCTGGCACAAAAAGAAAAGAAGGGATCTACATACCTGGTCATGGATGAGCCCATGATAGAGGATGCTCTGCATGTCCCTGCAAAGCCGCTCCAGGCCACCATACTTGGACCAGACATTGGGGCTGTTAGCTGATACTAAACCCTCCACAGTAGTCTTCAAATTACCCAGCAACTGCCAGTGCTCCCTCCTGCAAGGGCATCAATTATACCAATGATTAGTTACTTTGTTGTACCTGATCCTGACCACATCAAAGAAAGTCTAAGACAAGAAGCCTCCTGCCCCACATCCTAACATTCTCTCCCCTATTAATTTTTTACTTGAGTATAAGACCCAATTCTGAGAGGACTGAAGTTGTAAAGAACACTAAGATTTTGTTTTAAAACCCTCATATTGGGACTTCCCTGGTGGTCCAGTGGGTAAGACTCTACGCTCCCAATGCAGGGGGCCTGGGTTTGATCCCTGCATGCATGCTGCAACTAAGAGTTTTCATGCCACAACGAAAAAGCCCACGTGCCGCAACTAAGAGTCTACATGCTGCGACTTAAGAAGTCCACATGCCGCAACTAAAGATTCCACATGCTGCAACAAAGAGCCGGTGCAGCCAAAATAAATAAACAAACAAACAAACATATATATATATATATAAAGCCCTCATATTTACATGGCATATTGTGCTTTGTAAGGTGATCTTCATCTACTATCATTCCATCCTCATGTAAGTAGCCTATAACCCTGTTTCTAGGAGTGTGACCCATTAAGATCCGTTTCTGGACAATGACATTACATGGGCAATATATAAAGAGATGAGAGCATTTGCTGAAAACCAGAAATCTTTCGTCAAACAAAAAAGCCAAAAACAACTGTTTATTAACTATATTTCCAATACTAAGTACATATATCTGTACACAAATATTATGGATAAGAATACAAATTGCCCATGATTTTCCCCCTTAATTTTTTAACCTAAAATTGAGACAAAATGTTTTAAGCTTGTACTGAGCCACTTAGGACATGTCCCCAAATCAATCAACTATTGGCTTATTCCCTTGCACCATGTGAAGTACTTTAGTGTAAAAGTTTGAAAATTATTGCCCTAGATGATTGTCAAGGTTCCTCTCAAATTCCCAGCATTTTCTCAACACAGCTTCCAACCCAATAAAAACTCAAAACCAGCTGCAATTGAGTGAAAAGAACTGGATACACAGAATCAAACTGGATAAGGAAAACATGAGGAGATGAGGTGTCAAACTCCTTCTCTTGGGCCCCCAATTGTCATGTTGTACACTTTATCTAGCCCTTTCATTTCTTATTAGAATACTACTCTTTCCTCTTCAAGGACAGTCCTGGGAATGGTTATAATTTCTTCAAGGAACTTTCACTATAACTATTTTAATATCATTTAAATACCTATTAGGGTAGGAGGGTTCTGAACTGGAATCCTTTCTAACTCTCATACATTTTGTACACTTTCTGAGCCACTTTTAAAAAGTGGATGAAGAGAGTAAAGGCAGACAAATAAAATAAAATGAATGAAGCTAGGTCTGGTACAGGAGTATTATCTAAAAGGGGAAAGCCAAATGGATCTCACTCTGGTTTTCTCCTCTGAAAGCCTTGAGACCAAGAATTTATTCAAACTGGGAGACACCAGGCTTTTTTAACCTTACATCATTAAACATTTGAGTCACCAGACTCCCCTGTTCTATTTCTTTTCCCCCCCGCAGTTTTACTGAGAAATAATTGACATATAACATTATATTAGTTTAAGGCATACAACATAATGGTTTGATATATGTATACGTTGTGAAATGATTACCAGAGTAAGTTTAGTTAACATCTATCACCTCACACAGTTATAAATTTTGTTCCTTGTGATGAGAACTTTTAAGATCTACTCTCTTAGCAACTTTCAAATATACAATACAGGGGCTTCCCTGGTGACGCAGTGGTTGAGTCCGCCTGCCAATGCAGGGGACACGGGTTCGTGCCCCGGTCCGGGAGGATCCCACATGCCGCAGAGCGGCTGGGGCCGTGAGCCATGGCTGCTGAGCCTGCGCGCCCGGAGCCTGTGCTCCGCAACGGGAGAGGCCACAACAGTGAGAGGTCCGCATACCGCCAAAAAAATATATATATATATACAATACAGTACTGTTAACTATAATCACCATGCTGTACATTACACCCCCAAAACTGACTTATAAGTTTGTACCTTTGGACCACCTTCATCCATCTCCCCCACCCCCTCATCCCCTGCCTCTGGTAATCATCAATCTGTTCTCTATTTCTACGAGTTTGGGTGTTTTGGATTCTACATATGTGAGATAATACAGTATTTGTCTTTCTCTGTCTGATTTATTTCACTTAGCATCATGCCCTCAAGGTCCATTCATGTTGCTACAAATGGCAAGATTTCCTTCTTTATGGCTAAATAATATTCCTCTGTGTGTGTGTGTGTGTGTGTGTGTGACATTTTCTTTATCCATTCATGTGTCAATGGACACTTAGGTTGTTTCCATGTCTTGGCTATTTTAAATAATGCTGCAATGAACATGGGGGTGCAGATATCTTTTCAAGAGAGTGATTTTGTTTCCCTTGGACATATATCCAGAAGAATTGCTGGATCATATGGTAATTCTATTTTTAATATCCTGAGGAAATCTCCATACCGTTTTCCATAACGGCTGCCCCAATTTACAATACCACCAAGAGTCCCTTTTTCTCCACACCCTTGCCAACACTTGTTGCCTCTTGTCTTTTTTTTTTTTGCGGTACGCGGGCCTCTCACCACTGCAGCCTCTCCCGCTGTGCAGCACAGGCTCTGGACGCGCAGGCCCAGCTGCCATGGCTCACAGGCCCAGCCACTCCGCGGCATGTGGGATCCTCCCGGACCGGGCATGAACCCTTGTCCCCTGCATCAGCAGGCGGACTCCCAACCACTGTGCCACCAGGGAAGCCCACCTCTTGTCTTTTTGATGCTAGCCCTTCTAACAGGTGTGAGATGATATCTAATTGTGGTTTTGATTTGCACTTCCCTGATGATTGGTCACGTGAAGCACTTTTTCATATACCTGTTGGCCATTCCCCTGTTCTACTTCTAACCCAGTCCTGAGAGATATTTCAAGATAACTAAGATGCACACAGGACTGAGGTGGTCATTAAAAGGCCATTTATTTTTGTACTGTGAAACTGCCATCACAGAGGCCAAGTGACTGCCAGCTTTTGCTTCAGTGATTCTCCATATCCTATGCTTCCTCAGGAAGCATCTGGCCTGTTCCGACTGATAACAGTTTTACATTCCAACAGGTTACAATCAAGTGGTGCAGGCCTGAGAGCCAGTCTGGTTCCTCAAGTGACTCTGCATATCTGTGTTCTGATTCATTCTGTATTGATCTTACAAGGTTAACTGTCAAAGAACATCATAACAGGGCGATCCCACATGCCGTGGAGCGGCTGGGCCCGTGAGCCATGGCCGCTGAGCCTGCACGTCCAGAGTCTGTGCTCCGCAACGGGAGAGGCCACAACAGTGAGAGGCCCGCATACTGAAAAAAAAAAAGACACAAAGAACATCATAATAAATCCTGAAAGTAGACACCAAGTACCCTATCATCCTAGGGCTTTGATTCCAAAATTTTACGAAGAGCATTGAAACCCTAGCACCTTGAGCATTCAGATCTATTAACAACTTCTGTACAAACTAATTTTCTTCCCCAAAATGAAGTGCCCTTGAGATACCACAGCTACAAAAGAAGGTGGCTCATATTCTAAGATGTACCAAACCGTCTATATTTGGTATATGCTCATATAGATGAAAAGTAAACTTAAAAAAAATTTTTTTAATTAATTAATTAATTTATTTATTTTTGGCTGCATTGGGTATTCGTTGCTGCGCATGGGCTTTTCCCTAGCTGCGGTGAGCAGGGGCTACTCTACATTGCGGTGCGTGGGCTTCTCATTGCAGTGGCTTCTCTTGTTGCAGAGCACAGGCTCTAGGCGCACGAGCTTCAGTAGTTGTGGCATGCAGACTCAGTAGTTGTGGCTCGCAGGCTCTAGAGCACAGGCTCAGTAGTGACACACGGGCTTAGTTGCTCCACGGCACGTGGGATCTTCCCGGACCAGGGCTCAAACCCGTGACCCCTGCACTGGCAGGTGGAATCTTAACCACTGTGCCACCAGAGAAGTCCTAAAAATTGTTTGATTTACATAGCTAGTCTGTTTAGTGTCTTTACTTTTTAGGATCCTTTACCCTAATGATACTGTTATCATTTTCAGAGAGCTGAAATACTAAGTTCAACTGAAGCCCATACACAATGGTTGGATTAATCCATTCATACCTGAATCTTAGATGCAAATAAATAGATCACCATGAGAAATAAAATATCCCTCCTCATTCTTTACCCAGATTGTTAGCAAGTGAGGTCAGTCTTTCCTAGGCTAAACCTGTTTGGTAATAATTACTTGGATTGTATCATCTTGCATTCACATGTAACCTTCATCTGGGCACAGGCAAGGACTGTATTAGGCTCAAAGCAGCCCTTTGTATGGCCACTTCTGCAAGTATACAGAGTGCTCTTCTTTAATCACCATAAATTAAAAGCAAGTCTTTCTAAGCATATTACCCTATGTCAAGGAAGAACTAGGCTCGAGTGGCAAGGGACAGCATAATCCATCTCTAGTTGAATCATATTTATCAACAAACAGCAAAGCCAATCTCAGAATAAAGTCCTGCCAATTTTCTTTTGGGAGGATTTTGACTACATTCTTTGAAGAGGAACAGGCATTGCTTAAGCAACTCAAATAAGCATACCCAAGGAAAAAGTTTCCCTAAATGCCAACTCAGTCTTAAGCTTGACGAATCACAATTAGAAGTAACACTCAGGTTACAACAGTAAAGTTATAAGCAAATGTTATTTTTTAAAGAAGTGTTATACCATATAACTAATATAAAACTAATAACTAAAAATAAGTGAAATCAATAGTAAATAAATAGTAAATACTGTGCAATTGTAAAATGAGATTCAATGCAAGAAATATATATTGGCATATCTTCCACCCCCAAGACTCTTTTTAGTAATAAAAGGAAACAGCTTCAACTTATTAGCATATCCCATCTACAGTATGCCAGTTATCTGCATTGTAATGTGGTATCTACCTGAGACCAGAGTTGAAGGTCAGGTTGTCCCAAG